GCAATTATAAATACACTTGAGCGTCCTAGAGGTTTAAACACAAACAAGTTTATTCCTCATGTAGGCAAACTCCATGTAAATCGGGCAGCCCTTCTCCGTCTTGTAGCTCTGCCATCAGGCACAAGTGACTTCCAAGCTGGCACTGGAGGGCAAGTTTATCAGTATTTTACAAGGTTGGTCCTGGAGGTGGCTTACATCTTCAGCACATGACATTCCATTGCCCAAACTTAGTCACATGGCCATAGCCCAATTATAAGGGAGCAAGAGGGCTGTCATTTCCCATAGGTGGATAGAAAAAAATGTGGCAAACATATAAAATTGTATTAGCTATAGCTTCCTAAACCATTGACCAGGAGATTCAGGCAAAGATGAGATCTGGTGCTTATGAGTGATTTGGATAGGGCTTAACCTGTATACAGTTCTTAGAAGAGTTTGTAGGTCATAGAAGTTGCCTAATATCTGTGTCCAAATATCTGTGTAACTTCCAGCCTCAGTATTAATGACGACAAATATAAAAGATAAATAATGCTACAAATGCAGTTTTAAGTTACTGCTTCCTGCATTCAATAATTGCTTAAAGTTTTTTTAAAAGAGAAACTGTAATAATGAACACATGGCCTGTATATTAAAAAGATCATGTGTTCAATGGTTGTCACATTAGCCAGTGAGAACCATTGACAAATCACCAACTATTTCTTAAATAGACTGCTTAAATACATGGAAATATTAACAAATGTTACTCCTTTTTTGTCAACATATTTTTATCAGATAACAAAAGTTAACTTCAACATGAATTTTTAATGTCTCCCCATGTATCCTCTTGAAAAGCTGCATTTTCTGACTAAGAAGAGGGGGCATAATGGAGCCTGCAGCCAGAATTGAGTTGAGGAAACAAAGAATTGTGATCTGCAGGGCCCAGAAAAGCCAAGTAGTTTATGTTTTATTATTATTATCATTTTTAAAATTTTAGAGTTGAGATGCAAGTCCCAAGGAGGTAAAGTGACCTTTCTATATTTTCATGAACTTTTTTGCATTTTATTTGAGGATATGTTCTAGTGGGTGGTCATCTGCAGACAGATTTTCATTTCTATGTTTAATCCAATGACTCATAAATCTTTATCTCCAGTCCAGACCTCTTTTCTTAGCTCCAAACCTGCATATCTAATGGTCTCCTCAAAAATTTCATTAGAATTCTTACTGACATCCCATGTCAGGGCACATGAATGGGTTGTAGGCTTTATCCTCAGTAGGGGGTGTGCAGGAGGCAGCTGATCAATGATTCTCTCTCATCATTGATGTTTCTATCTCTCTCCCCTTCTCCTTTCCTCTCTTTGATATCAATTTTAAAAAAATTGATATGGAAGAAGAAGTAGAAGAAGAAGAAGAAGAAGAAGAAGAAGAAGAAGAAGAAGAAGAAAAGAAGAAGAAGAAGAAGAAATGAAGAAGAAGAAGAAGAAGAAGAAGAAGAAGAAGAAGAAGAAGAAGAAGAAGAAGAAGAAGGGCAAAAAATCCAGACAGGAGAAAATAACCTTAGGCCAGAGCTGGAGAGGAAATGGGAGATCAAGTAGGAGGCCCAAGGTTGAGGCAAGTAGCAGATTTTCTTGGTGCCAGTCAGCCATTAGTAAGAGGTTGTCTGTTGGTGAAAGAAGGAAGTCAGACTAGAGATACTGAAGGATAGGTTTTCTGGGAACAAAGCAAAAGAAAAAATATCTGCAAATGACACGCTGATTTGCAACTTGCAACCTTAGCCGTTTTCTCCTGCAGTGACAGTCCTGATGGGGAGACATCTGTTAGGGGCCCAGGTGGTGACATTCTCAAAGATGGACCGGGACTCTAAGGATACCAGTGCTTCCCGCCTGAGCATTCCTGTCTGCAGGCAGTTTACTCTTCTGGAGAATGGTAGGGGAGCATGGGGGCCGTGTTTCAGGAAAATACACATTTAAACTGGTCATAACATTTTTCTCTCCCTCTGGGAACTGGTTTATTTTCCACTTTCTTTCCTCCCTACTTTCCTAGTATTTATTTATTTATTTATTTATTTATTTATTTATTTATTTTTTTACTGAAAGCATCTGACTGTCTACCACCCACAGTGGTCCAGTAACATATCTGGTTCCATCTCATTCTGACCTCATTGTTTGTCAGCCAATCCTAAGCACAATATCACAGTTCAGGTTAGCTGGATGAGTCATAAACTCATGGCAGGGAGAGTAAACACGCCACAGGAATTTCCCCGCACGCATGGTCCAAAGATAACTTCATCAACAAGGACTTATTAGACGGGGGGCTGTTACTTTATGTCTACTTCATTGGATTAACTCAGGCGAGTCAAGATCTCTAGTCAATCGCTGTTTGAATGTAACTTCTGCAGTACTATAGTGCAGGGAAATGTTTTATTTTATTTTTATTATTACTATTTTTAATTCTCACCTGAGGATATGTTTTCTTATTGACTTTAGAGAGAGAGGAAGACAGAGAAACATTAATGTGGGAGAGAAACATCACTCAGTTGCCTCCCATACGTGCCCTGACGGGATCAAACTTGCTATTTAGGTATGACCCCTGACCAGGAATCAAACCCGAAACCTTTTGGTGTATGGGAAGATGCTCCAATCAACTGAGCTACCCAGCCAATTGTTTTAAATGCTTTGTTTTTTGTAAATTACTGTCAACACACACACACACACACACACACACACACACACACACACACACGAACAAGAATATGGCTTTAGGAAGATCAGAAAAGGGGATGAGATTTTTTTTAAAAAAAGGAGCCATTGAGAATGTTGGAATAGAGTGCCAGAGAAGAGAGGGCAGTGAGGAGGAAGGCAGAGTTGGGTGGATAAATCAAAAGAATATTCCTAGGTTAAAGCAGACAGTTGTTTAACATTACCTTCTGATTTAACCGATGTTACAAGAAAGGATTGAAGAGGTAAAATAACTTTTCAAAAGCCTCTGGGGGGGGGGGGGGGACCAAGATGGCGGCATAGGTAAACACTGGAGATTGCTGCCTAGCACAACCACTTCAAGAATACAACTAAAAGACAGAACGGACATCACCCAGAACCACAGGAATGCTGGCTGAGTGGAAATTCTACAACTACAGTAGAAGGAAAGAGAAAAGCATACCGAGACTCAGAGGAGGTGCGGTGTGGAAGTAAAGTACAGAGGTACGGAGGCACACTCGGTGAGGGCTGGTGGCTGAGGACAGGGTTGTCTTTTTCAATTGGGAGGGATTCTCAAGCTCTGAGCTCCAGTTCCGGGCGAGTCTCTGGGGACCAGACTCATATGGGAGAAACAGGACTGTCTGGCACTGGTTGGAACTCGAGGGCAGCTTTCTCTCAGAGGTGCTTGCAGCTATTACCAGGACACTGAGAAGTGGGGCCTCTGAGGGCAGGACTGAGGAGCAGCCATAGCTGCTTGCTCTGCCCTTTTGATCTCCTGGGACCCCACCCCACCCAAGCTGTGCACGGAGGCTTTTGCTTATGAAAGCCTGGCCCTTTGCAATCTGAAAATTATCTAACAAACTGCAGCTGGCCCAAGGTCCCATGGCAACTTGCATTGCTTCACAGCTGAGCTCCTGCTGGGTAGCCTCAGGCAGAGGTTAGATTAGCACCTCCTTAGAGATCCAGGAGCCAGTGTGCCCAGTGGTCAGAGTGGGACCATCCAGATTGCAGCTCCTCAGATCCACAAGGGACACACTCAGGGGGCAGACTCAGTGAGCACCAAAGCCGCACTGAAGCAAGTCTTGCCCCAGAAGGGTGTCTCTAGCACAGATGTTCTCCCATTGCAGACACAGCTGATTCTCACAGCCAATTGGCCTGGAGGTCAATTCCTCCCAGTGATACCTACAACAATCAAGGTTTAACTACAACAAGACTGTGCACAAAGCCCACAAGGGGGTGCACCAAGAGTGTCCACCTCAGGTAATTGGGGAGGCTGAGCCACTGGGCCCTATAGGACACCTAGCACAGAAAGCCACTATCAACACAGGGAAGCATAAAAAATGCGGAGACAAAGAAACAGGACACAAATGACAGAAATGGAGGAAAGCAAACTACTGGATATAGAGTTCAAAACCACACTTTTAAAGTTTTTCAAGAATTTTCTAGAAACCACCAATAAACTTAATGAGACCCTCAAGAAATCTAGTGAGACCCTCAAGGTTGTGAAAAAGGACCAACTAGAAATTAAGCATACACTGACTGAAATAAAGAATATTATACAGACTCCCAACAGTAGACTAGAGGATAGCAAGAATCAAGTCAAAGATTTGAAATACAAAGAAGCAAAAAACACCCAACCAGAAAAGCAAAATGAAAAAAGAATCCAAAACTACGAAGGTAAAGAGCCTCTGGGACAACTTCAAACGTACCAACATCCGAATTATAGGGGTGCCAGAAGAAGAGAGAGAGCAAGATATTGAAAACCTATTTGAAAAAATAATGACAGAAAACTTCCCCTACCTGATGAAAGAAATAGAATAGAAATAGTATCAGGGGCATAGAAAGGGAGTAGACTGACTATTCTTGGGGGGAAAGGGGTGTAGGGGGTGCGGGAAGAGACTGGACAAAAATCGTACATCTATGGATGAGGACGGGGGGTAAGGGTAGAGGGTGGGGTGGGAACCGGGTGGAGGGGAGCAATGGGGGCAAAAAGAGGAACAACTGTAATAATCTGAACAATAAAGATTTAATTTTAAAAAAAGCCTCTGGGGGCTTTTCCAAGATAGCACAAGAAAGCGGAGGTGAGGGACAACCGCTGGAAGCCAAGGAGACTAGAAGACAACCTGGAAGTCAGGGCTGGAGTGGAAATGAGAGCAGAGTGGGAGGGCCAGGCGGTGGAGGCACAGCTTTTCTCTGGTGCGTGATGTGGATGAGGCAGAGGTTTGGCAGTTGGAAGAGAGAGGAAGTCACTATTGAGGCTGAGAAAAAGGTTTGCTGGGTTCAGAGATCAAACGCCAGCTTTGAGAGTCAGAAGGTCTGTCTCCCAGGGAAATGCTGCTTTTGCCACTTCTGTTGCTCGTGGTTCTCATCCCAGGTGGTGACAACAAGCCAGGTAAGAGCAGCTCTGGCCTCTCCCGGCGTGGGGGTCGGGGTCTGGGTAAAAGCATGCTGTCCATGTCCATATTGTACGTGTCTGGGCCATCTGTCCCCAGCCTTTCCTTCCGTTCTGGGGTTGGGAATGGAGCCCGAGGCCCTGGCACAGGCAAATGTCTCAGGCCTTTTGTTGTTTAGCCTCTTGGTTCTTTTTCTCTGGACCTTTTTGGTTTTCATTCCCCGCCCCCCAGTCATTTCCTCCTGCTTTTCTCTTTTCTCTCTCTCTCTTTTTTTTCTTATCCTTCCACTACCCACAGCTTTCCAGGGCCCGACCACTTTCCACCTCAACCAGATATCGTCCTTTGCCAACAGCACCTGGGCACAAAACCAGGGCTCTGGCTGGCTGGGCGATTTGCAGATTCATGGCTGGGACAGTGAGTCGGGCACTGCCATTTTCCTGAAGCCTTGGTCCAAGGGCAACTTGAGTGACGAGGAGGTGACTGAGCTGGTGGAGACCTTCCGAGTCTATTTGATCGGATTCATCTGGTTCATACGGGATCACGTCAGTGAATTCCAGCTGACTTGTGAGTGCCGTCCTCTGGAGAGATTATCAGTGATTCCTCTCTCTCTCTTGTTTAGGCACCACACCCCCGGATCTTTCTCTCCAGTTATCCAACTTCTCTAGACTTATCTTCTACTTTATCCAACTTCTTTCCAGTTTATCCAACTTCTCTAGACTTGTCTTCCACTAGACTCCATATCTCCACAAACTATTGCAGCCTCTTCCTGTTTCCCGCACCCTTGTCTGATAACGATCCCCCTTTGGAACCATCATCTGGTTTGTTTATGTTTAACTTTTGTTCTCTTGAACCCCACGCAAGAAGCCCTCATCTTGTCTACTCTGTGCTGAGAACACTAACGTATGAGTTCCTTCTTTCTTCAGTCCATCCCCTCAAACATTTCCTTCCTGCTGGATTCCTCCTCTCAATGTAATGCTCCCATTCCTTCTGGAACGTTGTGCCCTGACTTCACCACCCTGTTGCTCACAGTTCCCCCCTCTCCTCTCCCCTCCCTCCCGTATGTCATTACAACAGCCCTTCTCTACTGTTTGTGACATGTGTACTTCCCCCTATGCTCTTCCTTCTGAAAAGTCTATGAGTACAGTCAGACTCCATTTAACAACGGGGATTAGGTTCTGAGAAATGCGTTAGGTTCATAACATTGACTAGATTCAGAACAATTCAATGTGCAAAATAATAGACTGAATTCACCAAACCTAGATGGAGATGCCCACCACACA